AATTTCGACTTGATAATCTCCATTTATCATCTCTTGATTCTCATTCTTTCCCCATAATTTCCTAAAATCAGGAAGACCTGCAGTGCGCATCCAAACTTGAAAATGCTCATCTGTTTCAATGTCAGGTGGAGGAAATTCTTCAGTATAAGTGCCATTAGGATATCTTGCAACCCAATCCAAAGGAGGGCGAATTTGATCAAGGCTGTATTGGGTTTTTTTATATTTCTCTTTATCAGAAGGCCATGCAATGCTTTCATTAGAAAATGTATAGGTCACATTTTGAGCACCGCTAGGTGAAACACGAAGAACAGGATCGAATAATGTATCTATAAAAAAAAAAAGATGAAAATTATAAACCTGAATGGACATTAAAACTTAATTATACCTGCCTTAAATAAAAAAAAAAAAAATCTATCATAATCTAAATATTAAATTGGTCTAACTTATATATATACTCTTTGGCTCAAAAAAAAAAATGAAAAAGATAACTCAGAAAAGTAATTCAATATAATTAACTTCTCTTTTTACCTTTCACACTCTATCAAAAAATAAGAAATAATTACCATTAAATTGGGAATTAGCGATAAGACCACAAGGATAGATAATCTTGCCGTCTTCACCAACGTCCATCGGTTTACAATTTCCAGCTTTAATCGTATTTGCAGGAACAGCTTTACCTTTAAGCTGTTCAGCATCAAAACTTTTAACATATCTTCTATGATTTTGATAAAAATTTGTTAACCTGTAATACATGAAAACTGGTGGTTTTAAGGTTTCTGGTAAAGTAAATCGAATTAAACAGTTCCAAACAGCTTTGTCTCCAGTTGGATTTCTTTTTGGCGGAAGAAGTTTAATAATTTTTGCCCATGATACTTTTATTTGGGAATCATCTGGAAATGAAGATGTTATAAATCGAGCTGGCGTGTCACTAAAAATGGGCTCAGCACCTAGAGCATCAGCGGGTACTGGAGATAATGAATCACAAAAAGTATAATCAATTTGTAATTCTTTGACCTATAATAAATTGAAAAAGATTACTGTTGAGGGCTTTTTTTTTTTAAATAAAATAAAATAATCATAAAATAAACGAACAACACATCTATAAAAAAAAAAAAAAATTAACTACATTATTACTAGCATAAAATAAAATGGCACCAAGGGGTGCAAAGATGATTCCGATTATAAAAAATGTGGGAAGGACGGTTTTTGGTGTAAGAATCGGTTGCCATGCCTTTAAGCGCTGTTGTTTAAAGGCAGTGTCTAAAACAAAAGCCCAAAGAATAAATAATCGCTTAAAAAGTGTAAATAAAATTTAATATAATGGAAATGTACTCACTTGCGGGCTTACGGCTCTTTGTTTCGGGAGCCATTTTTAATTAAAAAGGTAGAGAAAGGAAAGAAATGTTTTGACTTTGTTGCAAATCGTAGAATGTTCAAAAGTGTGGCACAATAAATGTGAAGTAAATTACTTTTCGTCGTGTTAAGAGAACTTTCTGAAATAGGTTTTTTCAGGACTTGATTTATCCCTTGAACTATCCCTTTTTAATCACAATGTATGACAACACATGGCTTATTTATTTATAGATATTGTATGGATTTATATTTAATAGGTTGTAATTGAAAATTTTTTAATTAACTTGCGTCTATCTGATCAGCAAATTTATGCTAAAGTGAATAAATACACAATAGGGAAAACTTTAACAATTAAATAAACAATCATAAATTATTCATATTTGATACTATATGATTTCTCAAGATATTATGAATTGCTCCTACAAAAAAAAAGGGGGAAAAGGAAGTCAAGCAAAAA